CCTATACCCACACCTGCGCCAAGCGGCCCTACCCCCTCTTTCAAAATCCAATCTCACTAAATGGGAAAAAGACGTCCCAACAGAGGACGTTGTGGAGAAAATAATACAAGGTTATCGCTCACTTTGCAAAATATTACCTAATGAACAATGGAGGGAAACGCAATTTAAAATTATGCACAGGGCCTACTACGCCTTTCAAATTAAATTCAAACAAAACCGGAATAACATCTACCTAGATCACTGCCCCAAGTGCAAACTGGAGGCAGCCTCCTTATTCCACTGTCTATGGGAATGCCCACAGATCCAGTCCTTTTGGGACAAGGTTGCGAACTTTGTCAACTCGGTGACCGGCCAAAGGACTCAGCCGGAGATCCTTCTGTTCATATTCAACTATTGGGACACATCCACAAATGCCCCAATCACCTGTGGTCGCTCAGTAAAACAGTGGATAAGCATTTCTTTACTGGTGGCTAGGAGGTGTATTCTAAGAGAGTGGCTATCTCCCCTCCCTCCCACGCTAAAAAGACTCCGAGATGACCTGAGGGATCTATTTTATTTAGACAGGCTGGACGCTACTTTAAACTTACAGAACGAGAGAGGGGTAACCAGATTCTACGATAAATGGATGCCATTTATCACTTTCTCTTTCTCCCCCTCCGAAAGGGAAAGTCTGCTTGCACCCTTTGAGTTCTCTACGTGCCGCCTCCAGGATCAACTATCAATTACAAACTAGAGAGCTATGGTTATTTTCCTCATCACAGGCATAACTTTATGCTCCCACAGCTTGCACCCATATAATGCGGCTATGCCATTATCCACGACACTGGGACAACCCCGACACACTATCTATACAGGTAACTAAGTTTACATGTATAGACTAACACTGGAGACCAGATTCCCCCCTCCCCCCTCTTTCTTTCGGAAACTGGAACGACGCTTGTAAAACCGATTATTAGTATTACAACACCTATATGTCCTTATTACCCTATGATTAGGACCCTTGATGGGAACAGTGCGAATCGAATTGGAGCGGTAGTTGAGATTATTACTTTTGTTACTGTTTGTATTTTGTTTATCTTGTTGATCGACTTTAAAAAGTCAGACACTAAGCGATGTACTAGGTATTCGGGGAAATCTTGCAGTCCTCCCTGCTCACTTTGATTCCTTGTGTATCAGGGGCAAACATTAAAGGATACCCTTAGGGATGCTTATGCAGTATGACATACTATCTTGAACAATCTGCCTCAATGTTTCTGTATCATTGCAACATGTCCCTGTTTTCCTGCTGTACTTATTTTTTATGCTGAAAATAAAAAATGTTTTTCAAAAAAAAAAAAAAAACACCATGGAGGGGTGACTCCAATCTACATCAATCTACATTAGTTGGAAAACTAGTGGTAGCTCAAGTTAAGAAGGAAGGTAGAGGAGGGAGCGGAAACAAAGGAAACAAAGGAATATATGAGACACCCAAAATAAAATAAAATATATAAAAGGTATAAATTAATAAAAGTAAGATAATAAGAACAAGAGAAAAGCAGGGGAAAGAAATGGAAAAGGAAAAATGGCATGGGACTCACCGATGCTAGAGCTACCTCCCGAGAATAGAAGCCGGTACAACTGGCAAAGGCCCTGTAATTTACGGAGGCCAGATTCTAGTAGGGATGATTGACTCGTGGCTGCTGTTGTTGTTATTAGTGTTTTGTATCCTGTGTTTTTTTTTATGTCAAGGAGGAGGATTGGCTGGGATAGAAAGAAGGGGGTAGAACATAATCTACGGGATATTATCCTAAATGGCATATGAGTAACTACACTCAGAGTAAATCCCGAGGTGTGGCTATAGGTTTCCACACCACATTACCAGTAGTAGATATTCAGGAGCAGGGGGACGATGAAAGGCGTTTCCTCTTTGTTAAATGTAAAATATTTGATAAACAGTACACACTTGTTAATATTTATCTGCCAAATAAAGGTCAGATGAGGGTACTAGTAAAGATACTCAACCTTTTGAGAAACTTTATGGAAGGAATTCTGTTCGTAGGGGGGGACTTTAATCTGACAATGGACCCTAAAGTAGATACGTCTAAAGGTACAGCTCATATACCATATACCCAGCTTAATAGATTAAAACAACGCCTACAGAATCTACAGCTGGTGGATATTTGGCGTATTTTACATCCTAGAGCTAGAAATTACACATGTTACTCACCATCACATATGTCATACAGTCGCATAGACCAATTTTTTATGGGTCTCATTGTTTAATTAGTTGGCAGATAAAAGCAGACATAGGAGTCCAAATATGGTCAGACCATGCACCCATATTTTTCACGATTACACCGCCGAATACCATGCAGCTTAATGCGACATGAAGATTAAATGAAAACTTAATACAAGATGACTCTATAAAAGAAGCTATTAGACAAGGCATTGTAAACTTCCTAATAGACCATAAAAATGACACGGCACGATCAATAAAATGGGAAACCCTGAAAGGGGTAATACGAGGAATACTTATTTCCCACGGAACACGCTTAAAAAAGAGAAAAGAACTTGAAATCAAATCACTTATAGAAGATATACAGCAACTTGAAAGCCAACACAAAAAGAATGTAGATATAAAAGTCTATAATAGTCTTCAGCAAAAAAGAATTGAATTACATCAAAGACTAGATCTGGGGTACCAAAGATATAAGGATATAGTGAAGCGAACTACCTACGAATTTGGAAACAAAAGTAGTCGGCATTTGGCACGCTCGATAAAAGAGCAACAGGCCCGAACATATATCCCAAAAATTAATTGTAAACATAAGGGCATAGTTAATTCTTCAGAGGAGATCGCTGAAGCATTCCATAACTATTACAATAACCTATATAACCTTAGGGAAAATGCCACAGGAAAAGAGGGGAGAGAGGAACAAAAGGACAAACTGGACTATGTACACCAGACACCCCTGCCTAGATTGGATAATGAAGCAATTGATAAATTGGACACTCCATTTTTGTTGAGAGAAATCATAGAAGTGATTCACTCATTACCGGGGGGGAAAGCACAGGCCCCGATGGGCTAACGGGCGTCTTTTATAGACAATTTGCTGGAGAACTGGCCCCAATACTACTGGAAGTGTTTAATTCCATTGGTGAGGGGAGCGGGTTCCCAAGTCAGAGCCAAGAGGCCTATATAACATTGATACACAAGGATAAAAAGGACCACATACAGTGTTCGAGTTACAGGCCGATATCATTAATAAAATGTAGACATGAAAATCTACGCAAAAATTCTGGCTTTACGCATACAACCATACTTACAGGAAATAATCCACCCAGAGCAGGCAGGTTTTGTTCCCGGGCGAGAGGCGAGGGATAATACTATTAAAACTATTTCCCTGATCCAACAAGCTCAGTCGAGGAAAACCCCTCTGTGTCTACTATCTCTATACGCAGAGAAGGCCTTCGACAGGGTTGATTGGAACTTTATTAAAACATCTCTAGAGCAGATAGGAATACCGACTCTCCTAGTATCAAAGATCATGGCATTGTATACAAAGAGAAAGGAATACGACCACTCTCGGAATTACTCCCGATGAACCAATTAAATAAGGGTAGATGGCTGGAGTACCTCCAATTGAAGCACTTCTATGATGGCTTCCCTTCGGAAGATGGAGTGCTTAGAGATTTAACCGCTTTTGAAGAGATATGTTTAAATAAAGTAGGCGATAAACACATGGTGTCTAAGTTGTATAATCTAATATTAAAACAGATGTTTCCAACATTGCCCTATTATACTAAAGTGTGGGAATAAGAGTTAGGTCATGTATTTACAGAGGAGGAGTGGAGGAAGATCTTTTCTCTAACTTTCAAATCAAGTATCTCTGCCCTAACACAGGAAAGAAACTTCAAAGTACTAACAAGATGGTATAGATGCCCATATAACTTATACAAGATGAACCCTAAAAGTTCCAAGTTGTGTTGGAGGTGTTTTGTAGAAGATGGGACGATGATGCATATTTGGTGGTCGTGTAAGATGATAAGATCTTACTGGAAATCAATCTTGGATATAGCACAAGAGCTAACGGGACTCCATGGTTTGGAGACAGCTGAGGTGGCTCTGCTATCTCTACACCATGGTCCGTCCAATGCAAGAAAAAAAAGCCTATTGGGCCCAATCCTTGCAGCTGCAAGGGCAGTAATACCCAGACATTGGAAGTCAACCACCTCTCCCCAGATATCGGAATGGGTGGAAGAACTAAATAACGTAATGCGATCTGAAGAGCTCATAGCCCGCTCATATAATAGACACACGCTATTTGGGGAGAGGTGGAGCCCATGGAGGGATTTCATGAGCTCACAAGAGATTCTTAGATTTTTATAGGGGTAAAACCAAAAGAAGCCTAACGTTGGATTATCTTATCCTGAGTTGATACCTGCTCTAACTTGACGTTCCTTCTCTTCCTTTTGTTCTTTTCACTTCCTTCCTAGCGATTAATTATACTTACAACACCCCTGATACCCTTGATTGTGTGGGAATGTCTGTTTTGGGGGGGAGGGGGAGGAAGAAAGGTGTTAGGGTTTTAGTGTTATATGTCACTTGTTTTAAGGAAGTAGGAATATGGAGGGAACTACAGAAAATAATTGAGATGATTCTTACTATAGGTGTTATGTTAAATGTGCGGGAATGAATTATGTTTGTTATTTGTATTTGTATGATATGTGAAATTTGAAAACTCAATAAAATAAATATTTTTAAAAAAAACATTAACATCAGCCTATGCTACTGTGAGACATGTTAGTAGGGGTGTTATTTTACTGTTTTGTGAACCACAAGGTTACACTCATGTGGAAGAACAAATATCTCTACTGACTGAAAACTCAACTGATGAATTTTCCACAAACCCTGTGGGGTACCTGTAGTGCTCATAATTTATAGATGAACCACTTGTCACCTGAATAGAATTTTTTCAGGCATTTTCCCCTGAAACTTTCCCTGCATCTTTATACCTCACCTCTTGAAAGATCGAACATGTTCCACATTAGCTTCACCAGGATCTGAATCCTTTACGAAAACTTCATTGTCTAACCCATCCTGATACTGACAGGTGTCAGAAACACTTCTAGGTCTCTGAATTACAGATGACAAAGGTGTTCCCATTATGCCACTAGTCCTCTCAAGGTTTGGAATGTAACTGTTTGTTCCTGCAGCTATGAGGGACGTTGTATCATTTTGCTTTTCATCAGCTGTAGTCGGTAAAGTGTCCCTGCACCCAACCACCATTTGTGTCTGTACCGTTGCTGTATCAATACCATTAATAGCAGAATTTTCAACACATATTGGCATAGGAGATTGTGTCTGAGCTGAGTCATTATTCTCTTCATTATTCATTCTGGTTATGAGAGTACTTTCTTCTTCAACATTGCTGTTATCCATGATAGTTGTTGTTGAGGAGGAAATATTACTATGTTGTGATCTTGAATAGTCAGCAATCTCAGTGATTTGTGATAGTGAGGATTCTGAGAGAGTTTCCTCTTCTGAGATTGCTGCCAACTCTCTTTGTACATATAAATAACACTTTTTATCCTGAGGAACAGGTGCTATGGGAGTATATGGGGTGTCCTCCTGACCTGGAACCATTACTTTTTCAATTTGTTCTGCTGTCTGAGTACTTAGGATAATAGGATTATCCGCAATGTTCTCTATATTGACAGTCAAAGTACATCCTGTCTGTGGGTTGAGCTCTTGCACTGTTGAACAGTTGCTGTCTGCACCATCTGTCAAATGTTGGGTCCCACTCTTTAAATTGTCATGTAAACATTGTTCAGATTGTTCTGTTAAATGGTCATTATACAGTACGGGGCTGGACTTGTGAAGGTCTCTTTTTTCTTCTATACATTGTGTTGGTTCAATTACATGTCCTTGATTGCCTTTGAATGTGTCATTTTCTCTAGGCTCTGTTGTCCCATATTCAGGAAATTCATTGATGACACTAGCAGCTTGTGAAAGCAATCTTGTGTTTCCAGGGTCATCTGTGGAAACAAATCAATGGCAACATTAACATTATTCCAGAGTCACGTGATATTAATGCAAAAAAAAAATCATTAAAAAACTCCCATTTCTTCAGTTGTTATACCAGTGCAACCTCACTTCTCGGAAATTATTTAAATTGCAGTTATTTACTTGTATTCTCTTCGTTAGAGCAGAAGTGTCAGGTTAAGTGTCAGTGTTGATAACACTCACTCAAAAATCTGTCTTCTAACAAAGGTGCTGTCAGGATTACATTAAAGAAAACAAATTATTTTTTTAGTTGAGTTTTATCCTCCAGCAGCCAGGACAGAGTGCCGGCTATGAGCCATGAGCTCAGGTAGGTGACAGGCTAACCTTCATCCATCCTCCTTATAGCCCAACTAACAAGTCTGACAGTTTCCCTCTGTTAGAGAGAATACCACTCTCCTGGGAGGTACGGTTGCACTATTATAACAATTTAGGAGTGAAAATTTACTATTTTACAAAAAGACACATTTCTGACTGTTTCTCTTAAAGGAAATTCCAGAATAAATAACTATTTTACCTTTGATTTAAATGCTTCCATCTAGTAACAAAAAAGTCAAGCCATACCTTCACTATTTCATAAGTGCCTCAAAATCTAACAATTGGTAAAGTACTATATTATGCCCCAGAAAAAAAAAACAACAATGCAATATTAGGGTTCAGCTATTGAGAGGCACCGTGCATTGCTCTGAGGAATGTGTTAACTGTTTTTAGGTTCCATTATTTCTTTGGAGCTGCATCTTCGGTGTAGCCTGAAGCAATCAAAATTTATTGGCTGTGATTCGAACCTGGCACTGCTAATGCGAAGTCTTTATTTATAAGGTTAGTTGTGGCTCGAACAAAGTGAAATAAAGTCCACCATGTAATGGAGATGAACAAAGCCAGACATGTTTCAAGTCCAACTTGTGTGACAACCATGGTTGCCCTCACAGATACAAAGGAGAAATGAGTGTAGACATAAAGGGACAGGAAGGGTGTTATTCACATGATTACTAGGTGAAAATAAAGGGAAGCAAAGGCTGAAAAACTAATAAAGCCACCGCATCAAAGGAATGAAGAGCTGCACTATAAAAAGTTTTTGGGTTTAGATATGCTTTAAGCTGCTCGTGATTGTCCACTGCCAGGAAATTAACTAAACAGTGTCTCAAGTCACTGACACAGACAAACACAATGTTATTTTACTTTCAAGTACATGCCTATCCCTGCCTCAAGACAGTATCTGCTACTGTCCAGGATAATGCACAAGGTCAGCCAACATTTTTCACCAAGATATGTTAGATAGGAGTGTTACCAGTGCATGTACGGAGTTGAGGATAGGCAACCACAATAGAGAATAATAGCAGTCAACCAAATGCACGACAAGCTAAACATAGGCACTGCTGTATTATAGTGTGTGGCGGTCCACAAAAAAACATATGCCGTACATTCAAATTCTCTTCTGTTGTTTAAAGATCCTGCAAGTACTGAGAAATGCATGCTAATCTGTCACAAATGCACTCAGCTATTAAAGGGTTATTAAAGCCACAGGTGTTTTTGCATATACCTACTGCTAGCAAGCAGTAGATATATGCAAAAACTTTTTTTTTTTTTAAACCTTTGAAACAGGTTTAAACGTACCTGTGTTTTCGCCGTGCGCTCCCGTCCGAAAATCTGAAAAATCACGGGCGGCAGCAAAGGATCTTGGGGCGACCGCATGCACAGTTCAGATTTTCGGCCAGGAGATAAGGAGGGGCAGAAGGTAAGTCTATGGACAGCGTGCACCCGCATGCAGACACCGTGGGACAGGAAGTGCCAGCAAGCACAGAGGAGTCAGCGCTGGATCGGAGACCCGCAGCAGCACTGGAGAGAAGGCTGATAAGGACAGGAAAGAAGATCGGATTAAGAGACACCATTTAAGGTAAGTGCTGACACTAACATTGAGGGGAGGGAAAAACATTTAGACTTTAATGTCACTTTAAGGTTCTATTGTGGACTGACAGCACACAGCATTTGTGTGTCGGTTCTGCCCAGTTGTCTTTTGCTAAACTATTAAATCTCTTCTTCTCATGTCCATAATATAAGCAGTAATTGATCTGTAGTCCAAGATAACATCTAGGAGGGCAAATCAGGTATAAGAAAAAAACAGGAGGTTTGGACAGGGACCCTAGAAAGCTCTGAATTTCTAACAACACCAACACATATTTTTTGCACTTATTGCTGAGATATAACAAAATACTTTTGATAGTATATTTCCCAGGATGAAGGGGAGCAAATAAGAGAGGTCAAGGCAAAATTTAAAAAACAAACATATTTAGTACCTCTCTGGAATACACGTAGATTCCCTAACGCTGCAAGCACAGAACAATAACTGTTGTTGTGCCAGAAATATAGTGGGCTCCTTTATTCCATTTTGACATGACAACAAAGTGTATTTTGGCTCTGAATTGCTAAGCATGTGTTGTCAGGCCTGCCTTCTTCTTTTTCTGGTGCATTATAAAGAACACAGACCTCTCCTCATCCCCTCTCCCCTCCTCATTGCCATAATCTCCTTGTACACAATCAGAGACCACAGGAAGATCAGCTCACAACATTTCTTGAGAGATAACGCAGAGGTAGGGGTTGGCAGGAATAAGTACTTGCTGGATAGGTGCCCCAATCCTTTATAAAACATATGAACTGCAATGAAGGTGCACAGGTGTTAATACGGCCTTAGTACATGGGTGACTGTTAAACAAGAGCTGGTGTGAATGTGTGGGAGTAAAGAACTCTAAGCTACTGTACAGACGTTAAAGAAGGAGAGCAATTTTCATAATTTCTAATACTAAATCTGTGCAGTACATTAATTTAAAACAAGATGTCACACTGAGTTAGGGTCAGAGAGAGATAATACACAGACAGCAAATTGCTTGGAGGAAAATTATTTTACATGGTGGCAACCAATTAGGTTAACAAAAATAATTTCTGCTCTTTTACTCTGGTATGTAATGGTTCCACCTACAATTACCACACACACACACACACACACACACACACACACACAGATATATTTATACTAATCATTTATTTGCTTGGCCATCATGTACCTATGGCTTGCCACATTTAGGAAACACATTCGCTGTCTGGATTGACCTGTGCAATTACCTGATCATTTGCCGATTCCTGAACATTTGATAATACTCTATAAAAAAGGACTCTACTACTCTGCAATGGAAGTCAGTAACATTCTCTGTATTCATAAGGTACGCTGTGTTCATTTCAACAGGTGAAGCATTTCAATTATCATTCAATTCTTATACTGTCAGGGGTGCTTAAAATGGTCACCTTTTACTTACATGGTTTAAATCTTAAAGAGATACTGTCACGTCAACCGTTCAGGGCAAAGTGAATGTGTATTTTTTTTATATATATATA